TCTACAAGCTCTGGGCGTATGAGAGGAGTAGAGAGAGGATCCAGGCTGAAAAGTGCAGCTCCATGACCACATGCTCTTTGAGCTGTCCAGGGCACAGTGCACCACTTGAAGCACTGGCCCAGGGGCTGGGAGGAAGTGGGCTGACAGGGAGCAGCCGGGGTACTGCTTGTCTGTGGGATGCTGGGGCAGGGCTGGGTGCTGCAACACTCAGTTGAGAATCGCTGCTCTAGACCTAGGATTTTATGAAACAGTTGTATTCAGTTATCCTATATTACCTCTCAAACAACTGCCCCACTGATCCTCTGGCTAAACTAAATATATAATTACACACAGCAAAAAGCCTTCTGTTAAAGGAACATTAACTTTGCCAAGTCAAGCACTGAAAGTTAGGGACTGCCAGAATTCAGGATGCCCATGAAAATTTAATTGAGTGCCCTGTGTATATGAATTATGATGAAGTCTTTAATTATTTGGCCACATATTATTTTTTCCATTAGATTCTTACCTCATTCATTGCACAGGATGGAGGATGCTAGTAGTTTTTTCCCTTTTTTTGTTTGATATGTAGTTCTGGGCCTTATTTTCTATTCATAAAGTTTCTCCCGAAGACAGCATTATTAACCAACTCACTGGCTGTTCTCTGGCGCTACTCACTAGGTGGTATTTGAGCGTTCCACAAACGTTTATTTTAATCCCACAACGCCCCCCAGTAAAGTGAGGTGTATAATTCCTATTCTCCAGATGAGGAACAGAGATACAAAAAGATTAAGACAATAGGGAGTCCCGCTGACTTCAGTTGCAACCAGGAGTGCTCAGCTACAAATCTCAGAGTGTCGAGGCAGCAGAGATGTAGCTAGCCATTTTGGCACCCTGACAGAACCAGAGGGGTGCTACTGGGCTGAGCATTGGGTGGCTGGGAGGGTAGGAGGCACAGGCTTCCCGCAGTCTTGCAGTGGTACAGGTTCAAGTTTCTGTGGCTGTAAGACAGGCTCCCTTCCTGTTCCGGTGCTTGGGTCTGGTGCCTTTCTTGCCTACTTCTAATTACACTACTACAAGCCAGGCAGCCAGAAAGCTGAGCCCCTGTGAAAAGTGGAAGTGTCTTGACTGGAACTCAGAGGGATAGGCAGGTACAGAAGGCAGCACTGCAAGCACAGTGTTCATCGTTTCATAGTTTATTGGGGCTGGAAGGGACCTTACAGATCACTGGGTCCAGCTGCCCTGCACTTGGGCAGGAAAGACCGCTGGGGTCAGATGACCCAGTAAGATGGGTATCAAGACTTTCAACTGCCTTAAGCATAAGTCTGTTCTTTTTTTCCTGGAATCCTTCACCTTGTGCAATGCACCCACTCTAACTTCTAGCACAAATAAAACAGGGGCTTAATAGACAACAGCCTCCATTGCTACATAATCCTGACATCCCCCATCCTTCCCTACCCAGCACAGGTCCATCTTGCGCATTGAATAGGTTGTTGCCCTCCAATCACTTCCTCCTCCCCACCCCACAAAGCAGTGTCTAATCCCACTCTCTGTGTCCAGGCAGTCCTAATTTTCCTTCATCCCTCTAGCTCCTTATCCAACCCAAGTGTTCTTCTCCACTCACCATCCAAATACTTCTCAGTCCCTACACTGATCATGTAGATTATTGTAGGCCAACCTGTTTTGGCAGGTGTGCCACAAATAAGCCCCACACCCTCTCTGTGCCATTCCCATCCCCTTCCTCTGCTCTTTTTGCTTCCTATTCTGTACATCCTGCCTGATCGCCTGTTCTATCTGCCACTGTGCTGCTGCCCCCTCCAAGATCTCCCAAGTGCTACACACAGAGGCTGCCTATGCCACTTGTGGCACAAGTTGGCCACCCCAATGTAGATGTTTAGCAATTGCATGCTGGCATAATTGCATTACCCATTTTTTGACTTTGGATGGGTGGCAGCCCATTAAAACAAACTATAACTTAGAAAAAGAATACAGTGTCACAGGATAGACATTCTGCATCTGTTTTACATGTTATATTCCAGTTTTTAAGGCTTCCAGGAATTACTTTCATTACTGAAAATCATTCTTGGCAGTAAGGAGCTCAGCACTATTGGTAGATTATGAAAATGTTTTGCAATGTGTTTTCTCAGGAGTTATGCTGCAACTTGTAAAGAGTTGTATTTGAGCTATTGCTGGTATTCACAAGTAACCTACATAGAGACTTTTTAAAGTTAGAAGTAGGTTCAGTATCTGGCCTTTTTGGATATTTAAAATCTGTATATTGAAAGACTATAGCAGCTTGACAGATCCAATATAAATGATATAAGGTATCACACATGCATAACAATCTTGGCT